GGCTCTGTTGTTAGACACAGACCGAGTGGTGTTCGGACCAGTTGTCTCCCTCAACCCCGCAACCCTGCTGCCCTTGCCAGACCCATCCGAGGAGCACAATTGCCTCCAGATTCTGGCGGAGGCCCATGGCACCCGCTCCGACCTAACAGATCAACCGCTGTCGAACCCGGATTTTATCTGGTTCACAGATGGGAGCAGCTTCCTCAAAGAAGGAGAACGGAGGGCCAGAGCAGCCGTTACCACCGAATCAGAGGTAGTTTGGGCCTCACCGCTGCCGCCTGGAACATCGGCCCAAAGAGCAGAGCTGATCACGCTGACCCAGGCCCTCCGGATGGCGGAAGGTAAGAGACTCACGGTCTATACCGACAGCAGATATGCCTTCGCCACTGCCCATGTACATGGAGAAATCTACAGAAGAAGAGGCCTCTTGACCTCGGAGGGTAAGGAAATTAAAAACAAAAACGAAATTTTAGACCTCTTAAGGGCATTGTTCCTCCCACATCAGCTCAGCATTATACATTGTCCCGGGCACCAAAAGGATGACTCTGTCGTAGCACGGGGAAATCGGCTGGCTGATCTGACAGCCCGGACAGTCGCCTTACAATCCCCTAAGGGCGACCAGCTGCTGGTCTTGCAGGACCAACAGCCAAGCAGAGACCCCATGTCCTACAGCCCGGAGGACCAGGAACTAGCAAAGAAAATGGGGGCGGAATGGAGCCCTGAGCGACAAGCTTATATAATGGATAACAAATTAGTTATGCCAACCTCCCACACCAAATATATGTTCAAGTTTCTCCACGCGCTAACCCATTTGAGCAAAAACAAGATGAGGGCCCTTCTGGCTGATGAGGCCTCGGGCACTGTATTATTGAATCAGGAACAGGTGCTCCAACAGGTGACTTCCAGCTGCCCTGCTTGTGCCCAAGTTAATCCAGGAAAAGCCCATCTGAGCAGAGGGAGCCGCCTGCGAGGCCACCGCCCCAGAGTCCATTGGGAACTTGACTTCACCGAGGTAAAACCTGGACTGTATGGATATAGATACCTTCTGATTTTTGTAGACACATTTTCAGGGTGGACAGAGATCTTCCCTACCAAGAAGGAGACCGCTAACATGGTAACCAAGAAACTCCTGGAGGAAATTTTTCCCAGGTATGGAATGCCCCAGATATTGGGGTCAGACAATGGGCCCGCCTTCGTCTCCCAGGTAAGTCAGAAGGTGGCCAGGCTACTGGGGATTGATTGGAAACTCCATTGTGTATACCGCCCCCAGAGCTCAGGACAGGTAGAACGTGCAAATAGAACCATTAAGGAGACTTTAACCAAATTAACGCTTGCAACTGGCACTAGAGATTGGGCGCTCCTACTCCCTCTAGCCCTTTACCGAGCCCGGAATACTCCTGGGCCTCATGGCCTAACCCCGTTCGAGATCATGTATGGGGCTCCCCCACCAATTGTAAATTTCCTTCACCCTGATATCTCCTCTTTCGCCACTAGCCCTACCCTGGAGGCACATCTCCAAGCCCTCCAACTGGTGCAAAAGACAGTGTGGAAACCCCTGGCCGATGCCTACTGGGAGCAACTGAATCGCCCGGTGGTGCCTCACCCATTCAAGATTGGGGACTCTGTCTGGGTCCAACGCCATCAATCCAAGAACCTAGAGCCGAGGTGGAAAGGACCATACACTGTCTTGTTAACTACTCCCACTGCACTCAAGGTTGACGAGATAGCGGCTTGGGTCCACGCGTCGCATGTGAAGGCTGCCAAGGAACCCGACGAAGCTAAGAGCACCGAGACATCAACATGGAAAGTTCAACACTCTCCAAACCCACTAAAGATAAGACTCACCTGGGGGTCCCCTTGATCCCCCTAATAGTCCTCCTGACATTAGGAGGGGCATCACCAGAGAGCCCTCACCTGGTTAAGAAAGTTACCTGGCAGGTCATTTCCCAAACTGGGGACGTAGTCTGGTCCACAACTGCTCAACACGCTCCTAACACATGGTGGCCCTTCTTGACTCCCAAGATATGCGACCTAGTCGCTAGGCTGGATACCTGGGATATCCCCGAGTACACCCACACCAATAGGCCCTCTGTCCTAAATGCAGACCACAACAATGTTATGTCTCGAAAGAAACGGGCCATACAGACTGGAGTTACAGCCCAAGGACAACATATAGCTGACTCACCTGGCTGCCGAACGCGGTCAGCCTATAGGAAGCTGCAGCAGACCCAGCTGTATGTATGCCCTAGGGACGGAAGGGACTGGGATATGACTTACAAATGTGGGGGACTAGAATCTTTTTTTTTTGTGCAAAATGGAGATGTGAAACGACTGGGGATGCGTACTGGGAGCCTAGCTCCAGTTGGGATCTCATCAAGGTGGGACGAAGTCAGAAGGGAGAAGATTTACTAAACATTTCCTTCACCCCGAAGGGCATGAAGTTCTCTTCATGGACCGATGGACGGTCTTGGGGAGTCAGGTTCTATATGACGGGAACAGACAGGGGATTCACTTTCCAAGTAAAACAAAAGATAGAATCAGTTAACATTCCTGTGGGCCCCAACCCTGTTCTCCCAGAACAGAAGTCACCTTCACAACCTGAAAGAGCCCCAGCCCAGCTCCCCCACATCTATTACATTGTCCCCTACAGCCAGCATGGCCACCACTGCATCCCTTGTAAGGCCAGGCACTGGAGATAGACTCCTGAAATTAATCCAAGGGGCGTATCTAACCCTCAACCTCACTGCCCCAAACAAAACCAGAAGCTGCTGGCTTTGTCTAATTTCAAGTCCCCCTTATTACGAAGGGATTGCTGTTATGGGGAATTTTACTAACCAGACTTCCCCTTCTACAAGCTGCCACACCGCCCCCCGGCACAAGCTGACTCTCTCCGAAGTCTCCGGACGAGGGCTCTGCTTAGGGGTCATTCCACCATCCCACCAGGGTCTTTGCAATTCCACCCAGGCCCTTCCATCAGGGGCTTATTATCTTACAGCCCCTAAAGGAACATTTTGGGCATGTAGCACGGGACTCACTCCCTGCGTCTCCACTACGGTGCTGAACCTGACCTCTGACTATTGTATATTAATAGAATTATGGCCCAAAGTTACTTATCATGAACCAGAATATATTTATAGTCATTTTGAAATGAGAAACACCCGTTTTAAAAGAGAGCCTGTTTCCCTGACGCTGGCCCTGTTACTGGGAGGAATTACCATGGGCGGAATAGCTGCCGGGGTAGGTACAGGGACCGCAGCCCTTATGGAGACCGGCCAATTCAAACAGCTCCAAGTAGCCATGAATACAGACATCAAAGCCCTAGAGGAATCGGTTAGTGCATTAGAAAAATCCTTGACATCCCTATCAGAAGTAGTGCTGTAAAATAGGAGAGGGCTGGACATACTCTTCCTACAAGAGGGCGGGTTATGTGCTGCCCTCAAAGAAGAATGCTGCTTCTATACAGATCATACTGGAGTAGTCAGGGATAACATGGCTAAATTAAGAGAAAGATTAAAACAGAGACAACAATTATTCCAGTCTCAACAGGGATGGTTTGAAGGATGGTTCCAAAGGTCACCATGGTTTACCACCCTTGTCTCCACCATCATGGGCCCCTTAATCATCCTCCTGCTCATTTTATTATTCGGGCCATGCATCTTCAACAGATTGGTGCAATTCGTCAAGGATAGGGTTTCTGTTGTCCAGGCTTTGATCCTAACCCAGCAATATCAGAGGCTCAGACAGTCAGAGATGCAGCTGACCCCTTATTCTCCATCCTAAAATGAAAGGTTCCATTTGGTACAAAAGAAAATGGGGGAATGAAAGACCCCCACTCCATTATGAGGATATGGGGCGTTGGGCCGATGAAATGCTCCCCCCCCCAATA